GCCTTGCTCCCGAAACCAAGCTGTCTGCTACTTTATCTCGATTTTAATGCTAAGTTTTGCATTTTATTTAATTTCTTTATCATTTTAGGATCATATCGATTTGCTTGTTTATAAACTACGCTATAAATCAATTGTACCATTTTACGGGTAAACATCTTTGTCAGAAATTTCTCCATTTTCAAGGCTCATCCATCCCGCCACATCCGTTATAGTACCCCTGTTCATTTCATCTGTTAGCTTTCTCCTCCTTCCCCTTTTTCCACTTCCTATCTGATACTCCATAAACTCTCCACTAGAGGCTTGGGAAAACCTAAACCGAATCACAGAGCAAACGGACAAAAATTAAAATGAATCAAAGACCAGTATGAAGTAACTACATAAACGTGTGAGATCATAGCCAGATACAAACAAACATACCAAGAGAAGCAAGCATTCCAAAAGTTTAGTTTCAAACAAACACCAAGGACTTAACAATGGGGATTTGATTTTTGCCTTTGCAGTTCCACTTCAAGTTTTATCTAACAACATACAGGCTGCATCTTTGCTTTATACATGTGTAAAAGCAACAACTACACAAATGTTATTTTAGAGATGAACTCTTTACTAGTTGTCAATATTTTGGAAGGAAGTTGCACCTTCCTTGGGAACTATAATATGAAATTTTGACAAGACTGCCAGTATAAGGTTAGACACTGCTTTAGGGAAGGACATGAACTTGCAGATGCTTTACCATTCAAATTGATGTACTATTATGATGTTCTCAGCCTAAGAATGAACTGGTGAAAGTAAAACAAATCAACATGGACAGCCTGCCAACTGTTCAGGTTCATCATGTTTTATGTTTATCAATATGAAGAGTAAGAAAGCGATATGTTGGACATTCTAGTGAAAATTCTTGGACATTTTGTAGTTTGTAACATTAGTTTTTGTCAAGTGCATTGTACAAGAAAGTAGAAAATTGCATACCCCTTTGATCTTACACAGTATATTTGGAGCACATAACTAGAATTCTTTTGGAAAGCTGCAACTGCAAAAGGTGAACCTGCTAGATATTAACATATAACTGTTTGACCAAAAGATGTACCTTTTTTATTAAAACAACTAATGATAATGATTAGGTTAATCTTAGTCAAGCATAATAAACCCCAGATCTGAAGATGAATCGGAAAATAGTGACTGAACTAAAGTAAGAGCGAACAATCTTTATTGATATTTTCGTTTCTTCTTTCATGAGACATAGAATTTTACATCCTTTTTGGAAGGAGAATAGAAGGAGAGAATAGACAGAGAGAAAATCGGAAGCGTCGACTTTAGGGGACCGGGTCGCTGCCCTTGAGGCCGAGAAGGCGCAATTGTTAGCCCAAGTCGAATCTGCCTTCGTCGCTGTTCCCCGTCATATACATGAGCTCTAGGTATATGCCGAAGCCCAGCGGGATATATATAAGAGTATGTGGGAAGCGGACAATGTTTCTGAGGCTGTATACGAGGGAGCACGGGCAAAGGCACGAGAGGCTCGTGTTAACTGTGGATATGATCCTACGACGCCGGGGTCCGACGATGATGCTTATGCTGAAGAGAGACTTCCTGGAGACGGTGATGAGGAGGACGGCGGTGACGGCGCCGAGTGAAAGAATTTTTTATCTTTGTTTGTGTTGTTCTTTTCTTCTCTCTTTTTTTGGTTTGTTGTCTTTGTGTTGTTCTTTTCTCCTTTGGACTTGTCCGGCTTTTATCCGTGTGTAATTTGTGACTATTTGCGCAACTATTTTAAATAAAAAGAACTTTTCATCGGCGTATGTCTTTCGCACTTTCCTTCCTTTTCCTTTGCATAAATTTGGCGTGAAATTTTGGGTTCCCATATGGTCGATTCCTGATTTTCAGGGAATTTGATCTCAGCCAGGCTGAGTAGGACTTCATCGTGTGAGTCCGAATGGAGTCGTTGATCTGCCTATTTGGGTGAGGTCGACAAGTGACTTATTGCTTCGAGCAGATTCACTCTTGATTCAAAATGGGATTATATAACATGTTCGCTATTTCGGACGAAGCCAGTCATGACTTGGGTCGTTTGGGTGAGACCAAACTACCGTTGGTTCGGGCGATATCGTTTCCCTTTCAGCGATATCCATTGGCCTTAAGGGTGTTGTTTCGAACATTTTCCGAAAAGTTAACCCATCGTTTTCGATCGAGGTCGAACTCTTCTTTTTGGCGATGGCCCTTGGCCTTAAGGGTGTTATTTCGATCTTTTGTCGAAATATTAACCCGTCGTTGTTCGATCGTGGTCGAACTCTTCTTTTTGGCGATGGCCCTTGGCCTTAAGGGTGTTATTTCGATCTTTTGTCGAAATATTAACCCGTCGTTGTTCGATCGTGGTCGAACTCTTCTTTTTGGCAATGGCCCTTGGCATTAAGGGTGTTATTTCAATCTTTCGTTGAAATGTTAACCCGTCGTTGTTCGATCGTGGTCGAACTCTTCTTTTTGGCAATGGCCCTTGGCATTAAGGGTGTTATTTCAATCTTTCGTTGAAATGTTAACCCGTCGTTGTTCGATCGAGGTCGAACTCTTCTTTTTGGAGATGGTCCTTGGCCTTCAGGGTGTTATTTCGATCTTTCATCGAAATGTTAACCCGTCGTTGTTCGATTAAAGGTTGAACTCTTCTCTTTGGCAATGGCCTTTGGCCTTAAGGGTGTTATTTCTATCTTTCATCGAAATGTTAACCCGTCATTGTTCGATCGAGGTCGAACTCTTCTTTTTGGCTATGGCCCTTGGCCTTAAGGGTGTTATTTCGATCTTTCGTCGAAATGTTAACCCGTCGTTGCTCGATCAAGGCCGAACTCTTCTTTTTGGCGATGGCCCTTGGCCTTAAGGGTGTTATTTCGATCTTTCGTCGAAATGTTAACCCGTCGTTGCTCGATCAAGGCCGAACTCTTCTTTTTGGCGATGGCCCTTGGCCTTAAGGGTGTTATTTCGATCTTTCGTCGAAATGTTAACCCGTCGTTGTTCGATCGAGTTCGAACTCTTCTCTTTGGCGATAGCCTTTGGCCTTAAGGGTGTTATTTCGATCTTTCGTAGAAATGTTAACCCGTAGTTTTTTTATCGAGGTCGAACTCTTCTTTTTGGCGATGGCCCTTGGCCTTAAGGGTGTTATTTCGATCTTTCGTCGAAATGTTAACCCGTCGTTGTTCGATCGAGGTCGAACTCTTCTTTTTGGCGATGGCTCTTGGCCTTTAGGGTGTTATTTCGATCTTTCATCGAAATGTTAACCCGTCGTTGTTCGATCGAGGTCGAACTCTTCTTTTTGGCGATGGCCCTTGGCCTTAAGGGTGTTATTTCGATCTTCCGTCGAAATGTTAACCCGTCGTTAGTCCCAGCTTTTTTTTTTTTAGAGTTTCGGGTATCCTCTGGAGGAGTCCCAGTTTCGCTCGACCTCTACATTTTTTGGATGAGTCCCAGTTCGCTTGATTTTATTTGCATTAGAGGGTGTAATTCGGGGGTACGGAATGTTGCTATTTTGCTCACGTTTGTGTCATGCATACGTTGAAGTTTTCCAGTCTAGTCATTTCGCTTTCCGGTATGGAGATGTCATTAACAGGTATGACGATGAATTGTACTTTTGAACTCGGTGACGTCTCCCTCATCGACTCGGTCCAAATCTCCCCGGGAAAACCCTGTTGGGACAACTCTCGGGTGAGGGAGAAAGAGTATGACTTAAGGGACGTCATTTTCTAGAAGTTGGAGTGTCAGATGGGTGATATTTCAGTTATTTTGTAGTGCTTTCCCATTCCCTAGTTGGAATTTTCCTTTGCTTGCTCGCCCGCATGGTGTTTGTGTTCCTGCTTGAACAAACAACAGAGGGTGAGCCAAAGCAATATTTTCCTTAACCCAATCCGACGGGTCGGTGAATGAGGGGGAATCTATAGCGTTGCTCGCTTTGCCTGGCGTTTAAATGGTTGATGGGGTGGTGGTTTCTAAATTAGGTGGCCGTATTCAGCTCTCTTTTCCCCTCTTTTGTGCTCTAGCTCCATGTGGTTTGGGCTTGCCTTAGCTTGTCCATGGATCGCCCGGTGTGTGGGGGAGGATGTTGGTTGTAACTTCTGCTTGTATGTAATATCATGAACTAGATTAGCATGTGAGGTCTACTTACTGCTCTTTTTGGTGGGTGATTATGTTTCCGGTTTTTGATCTGGAAGAGGCTAGGAAATTTGGCTAAGAAATGCCCACAGACGGCGCCAAATTATTTAACCAAAAAATGTCAAAATCTTTTTGATTAAAACAACTAATGGTAATGAGGAAGTTAATCTTAGTCAAGCATAATAAACCCCATATCTGAAGATGAATCAAAAAATAGTGACTGAACTAAAATAAGAGCAAACAATCTTTATTGATATTTTTGTTTCTTCTTTCATGAGACAGAGAATTTTACATCCTTTCTGGAAGGAG